GGTGTTGTTTGGATCTGGCTGCTATGCTCCACTTCTTTCTGCTGCAGCCATTAGAGTTGAACACTTTGTGTCTCTCTGGCAAGATGTTCTGCTCCTGAATCAGCTGGATGGGTCTTGCCTCTAGCCTCTTTGCAGGGTGTTCTGCTGAAGGGTTCCCTGCTGGGCCTGCCCTCTGGGTCTATTTAGAATCCAGTGGGCCCAGTCATCTCACTCACTGGTGGGCCTGCGCTCTGGGTCTATTCAGGATTCTGGGGCCCCAGGTTGTCTCACTCCCTCGCCGGGCCTGCGCTCTGGGTCTGTTCAGGATCCTGCGGCCTGGGTCATCTCATTCACTCACAGGGCCTGCTCTCTGGGTCTATTCAGAATCCCGCGGTCCTTGGTCGTCTCACTCACTCACAGGCCTGCGCTTTGGGTCTATTCAGGATCCGGAGGGCCCCGGTCATCTCACTTCTATCTGTGTTTTTAAAGGTTGCATTTAATACTTAAAATCTTTATGCAACAAAGTACTACTCAGCCATAAAGAAGGATGAAATTGAGGCTTTTATAGGTAAACGGATACAACTAGATGCTATATTCATAAGTAATATCTATGAGATCCACATATTGTCTCCCCAGTGTAAGATTATGAATGTGTAAATAAAATCTGAAAGGTTCAATAGATATAGTAAAAGGGAAAGAAACCACTTAAAAAGAATGAACAATTGGGATGAAGTAAATGAGAAAATAAAGGGAAAAAAGGAAGAGAAAAAATCATGTATGTATATACACAGGATAGTTAAGATGATTGTAGCAGTGATTTCTATCTATATTTTTAAAGGTAGTGGTTAGTACTTAAAATTTTTAATTTGACCAATTTTCCATGATTATATCTAGTAATCTGAGCAACTACACTGAAGAAAAGAATGTGCAATATAACAATCTGTTTAATTCCTATCATCTTTTGTTTTTTAAAATTATGTATCATTTCTAATGTTTTATCTATTATTTTTCTTTTCTCTTTACAATAAAAAGAATTAAAAATTAAAATAATGAAAACAAAATATTTACATTTCACGGTCATTTTGGCTTTAGAGAAAAGCCAGAAGATACACGTTGCCAGATGCAGTGAGTAAGATGAATGCAGACACTTTATGATTTTATGGGCCTGCTTCCCAATTGACTGAATAGGGAAGCATCAGAAGATATATTTTTATAACATTTTAAAAACACGAGTGGAACATTGTGGCACATACCTGTAATCTTAGCATGCAGGAGAATGTGGCAGAAGAATCGCTACAAGTTCGAGGCTGGGCAAGACTATATAGTGAGTTCAAGGCCCAGCCTGGACTTCGTAGTGCGACCTTCCCTCCAACAAAACAAAGCAAAAAACCAATCCTACAACACCAACAAAAACACTAACGAAATAGAACTTCCAAAGCCACTTTACAAAGTGGGAAGACCAATGGGACAAGTGTGTTCAAAGCAAGAGTGAGTATTTTGACAAGGGTGAATGACAATGTGTCTTTTACTGTAGTAAATATGAATTTAAGTATTCACCATATATTTGATCACCCCTTGTGCAACTTTTGTGCATTTGAATGTAATACTAAAATGTCAGTGGATATGGGTTGAGTATAAACAAATGAATTGTAGTATCGTTTTTGGAAATATTCAGTTGCATGATGCCAAATCAGCTCAATAAGGTGCCAATTTAGTTTTCATTATTTCATGAGAGTGTTTTAGCATCTCACAAAGTCCACTTTATTTTACCCATATGCCTTTTTATGTTCTCTTTTTGATTATATAATCTGTAGTGGCAATTTCTCCAGATACTTAATAAATGTTATATGCAATAAGGGAGGCAGATTATTTGGAAATGGACAGGGCATCTAGAATGGTAGTAAGTGGAAGGCAAATGAGGGGAAGGGCAATAAAAAGAACTAAGATGTGTTAAGTATATGGAACTACTCCCTAAAATGAATATAAGGATTATGTACTGCAAACAGGTGCTAATGATAAATTTATAAGAATAAAACGTCTCTACGTATTATAAAATAAAATTAATCCAAAGAACTTGAGCACTTAATCATTTTAAATTTGATTCATTTCATTTCTACATACCAGGCAATGATTGCTTCATTTGTTTGATCTTTCATATTTTTTAGTCATGAAATATTTTTTAAGTTACTACTACAATGCAGCAGGCACTATTCATGATGCATTCACTTACATTCTTCATCTGCTACGTATATACTTGCACGCACAGATACAATAGTAGCTCATTAAAAATGGTTCAGTACACGAGTTTCACTTCATATCATATAACTAAGTTATATTAAAATGAACTAGATTATCGATAATGTACCGTGAGACTTATTTTTTCAAATATTAAAGATGCCACTAATTATAGTTACGAACTTCTAACAGAGGGTATAAAGAGGGTGAACTTTATCAACATGGCATAATGATGTATGAAAATTTTGTCACAGTGATATCCATTAACTTGTACAATTAATGCAGTTTAATAAATAAAATAATTAAAGTATATTGGAAACTTTTGCCTTAAAAAATCTTTTATTCTGAAACTAAAAGAGAGAGAACTTACTTGTACTACTATTGTTCTTTAAGACAACAAGGAATATGATGCGTATCTGTCTTACACCAAAGTGGATCAGGATACTTCAGACTGTGACAATCCTGAAGAAGAGCAGTTTGCACTTCAAGTACTTCCAGATGTCCTGGAGAAACACTATGGATATAAACTGTTTATCCCAGAAAGGGATCTGATCCCAAGTGGAAGTAAGTACCTTCCAATTCTGTATTTAAGATCATCAGTTTTATTTAGGAAGTTATATGGCAGCTTCAGACGTCAGAGCTTAGTAGACAGGCTGTCCCTACAAGAGATTTCTTTTACTTCAAATGTTTGCTCACTGCCTCTATTCTGACTTTGGAGCACAAGAACTTTTAAAAAGACATACATTTACATACATATACATGTTAGGTACAGTTCTTAAATTGTGTTTTAATGCTATTTTAAAAAATTATAGGGTGCCGGGGAAATAGCTCAGTAGAATAAGCGCTTGCCTGGCAAGCACAAGGGCTTGAGTTTAATCCCTGGTTCTGAAAAAAAATTATATTGTCTTAGTATATTGAAAATATTATGTTCCTGAAAACGTACATAAAATTGAAATTAATATGTTCAAATAGATTTGAGTTTCAAAAATGGTTTATGTCATTGTTCTTCTATTTATCCTTCTAGTCACGGTCACAAATAAATGTGAACTTTGCCTTTCAATTTTATAAGTCTTTATGACTTGTTACTTTTTCTCTGATTTCTGAAAAATTCACACTTAAAAAGGTATATGAGGCCATTAGCTGTAACAATCCATTATGTAAATTACTTATAAGAAATTCTGGACACTGTGAGCTTACATACCAGTCTTAAGTAGTGCTACACATATTGAAAGCTGTGTTTGAACTTTTAGAATAAATTCAGTTTCAAGGCAAAATATGTACCTTGTTCTTTTTAATGTTTTGAAGGTATATATCCTAAAGTGTATGGAAAATATAGAAAAGCCAAGATATGGTCCTTACTCCCAAAGAACTTTACAAATGCCATTGAGGGCAAATAAATCTACTGTAACTTATTTAAATACGTGTAGTTTGCTAATATCATTGAGAGCAGAAAACTGAACTGGTATCTATAACTCACATTACAATAAACACAAGATAATAGAAACAAAAGACTCCGTTTTTCAGTACTTCGCAGCATATAAAATGATTTTGTGCACATTATTTGATTTCTTGTTTATCATAATCTGGAGTCGAGAAAGAGTACATACTGATACATTTATGTTACCAATGAGGAAACAAAACCTTGATGGAGTCAAGATCAGAAAGCGGGCAAATGGCAGAGCTTAGAATAAAAACCATGTCTGCACTCTACTTTTCACTCTTCTAAATCACTCAATCAATATTGCATATTATCAGCAGTCCATCATGGTTATTAAATTGACAGAAGACAAGCAGAAACAACTGAGTTTTCTTTATTTCTTTTCTTAGATCGTACAAATATGTATGTTTGTGCACATACTTTACCATGCACACTTACATCTACATAGTAACAACCAACAAAACAATATTTACTGTTCTATTTTTTCTGTAAAATAAGAATTATAAATCAAAGGGTTCCACAAACATCTTTCTATGCCCCTTTACTCTTTTGTCTTTGGAATGTCCTCCACTTTAATGACTTGAGAGACCATTATATATTGATGTATTACTAAAGGAGCATCCTGATGCCTCAACATTTTTTGTTCTGTTTTTCTCCCAAAATTATCAATTCTTGCATTTTTCCATTCTTATTTCTATCATCCTAGCATATGACCCAATTACCTTACTTATGCAGTACTGCTTACTTGTCTACTTTCCATCTAGCCCTATTAATATCATTAACTGTCCACTATTTCTTGCAGGACAAAAGCCTGAATGCTTTACTTAACATTTCTGCAATCTGCCAGCAGGCCAGATTTATATCCTAAATTTGTCTCCTGTAATTTCTTCTACTCAAAGCTTCCAGTCTAGCAAAACTGTGACGTCAATAAAGATTCTGTGACTCTGCAATACTTTTGTTTATGGTAGTCTTGGTGTCTTCGCAAATCTTATTTATTATTCTCCTATGGAATCTATAAAACCATGTCCAGTCCTAGAGTTCAGAGTATATAGGGACTTGTTTGACTAAAGTTTGTATTCCTGTTTTATTTTGTACTGCTTTATAAATGGATTTAGATTTCCATTTATTTCTGTCTGGTCTAGTCAGCAAGATTATAAGCTCTATATAGGTACTACATGTTATTTATTTTCTTTGACCATATTGTCTTCTAACAGAAGACCTGAGCTCATCAAGCACTAGATGCCTATTAATTTTTTTAACAATGTATGTTTAAAGTAAATAGTGATGAGAATAGAATGAAACATGCTTAAATATTTACATGAAAGTATTTGAAAGACATTTTCTAGACTGGGTATGGTGGCACGCACCTCTAATCCCAGCTCTTGGGAGGCTGAAAACAGGAGGATCACAATGAGTTTGATCTGTGTAGTGAGACGCTGTAAACCCAGTACTAAATACATTTAAAAAAAATTTTTAAAGTGAAAAACATTTACTTTTTAACAGGTATGGGAGCTTTTAATGGAAGAAAAATTTGTTGGTAATTCATAAAAATAATTTAAAACTTTAGAATAAGCATAGAGTGGTGCCTCAGTTTATGAACTTAATATGTTTTTTGATTTGGGGGAAGATGTAACCCAATGTGAAGTTTGTATGCAGAAACAAAGTTTTACCAAATGCTT